GAGCTGGTTCGCCTTATTTTCAGCCACCCCACACCCAGCTGGGTACTCCTGGATACAGGTGTGAAGATCTGTTCAGCATGGACGGGAGCAGCAATCCTCCTTCTCCCACCTCCTCATCCACTTCCTCTACAGTGACTACGACCCCTGCTGTGCCATCCTCTGCAGCAGTGAAGGCTGCCAGTTTGCTTTCTAGTGCCCTGCCTCCATTCATGCTCAATCGCAGCTTTGCTGGCATGGCCGGAATGCTGCCACCAGGCTTTCCCCTTTCTTACAGCCAGTCTCTGGCCAGTCTCTACGCAGGTACCATGCTTCCAGGTGGGCTCCCAGGATCTGCTGCCACTCCTGGGCCTGGTGGGGCCAGCTTCCTGCCCCAGTATCCCCCCGCTGCAGCCTCCACCTCTTCCTCATCTTCTCCTTCCTCTTTCTCCTCTTCAGCACAGTCAGATGGCCATTGTGGCCCTCTGGTGGTAAACGGCGGGAACGTCCGTAGCTCCAGCAGCTCTGATGATGATGTAGTTGAGGTGATGGGAAAGTGATGGCCTCATTATATCGTTCTTTGGGTAAGCTTGGTTTAATTAAAACATCGTTACAATGGGATGTCATCCTATTTGTCAGAGCACGGGCTTTGATTGGCCTATGAATGTGAGGGAAATACCTGAATGCAGTGAACTGGTGAGAAGTGAGTCCTTGCTAAAATGGTCATCTGCCTTGGAAGACAGTGCAAGTGAAGACTAAAAACTGACTGAAGTTGGAGCAACAGCTTTTGATGATGACGATCATACGACGAAACCTGAGGGAAAAAAAAAACTGAGGGGAAAAAAAAAAAAAAGAAGAAAATGGAAATAAGAAGACGTTGGGCTTCCAGGTTTGTTTGTATTTTTCAATAGTGGCATTGAAATACTAATCACTGGATTCAGCACTGCTGAGGGTAGAGCTGCAGTTACCACACTTGGCCATTAGTTGTCCTGTCAACTTATGAGATTCTAGTTCTGCAGCTCCATGAGATGTCAAAACAACTTTTTTGCATTTTTAAGCTAATTAAATGTTGGGATGTAATCATTAAAAAATGATGAGTAGTTGAGTTATAGCTAGTAGTCTGGTGTTAATATCGGTAATGGAAATTGTACCATTTGTCTCATGTCAAATGTTACTACTGAATATTTGAGAATGCTATGGGTAAAAGTCAATAATTCACTGCCAGGACAGGGGTATTGTACATCATCGATCTTAAGAAGAAGAAAAAAGCTATGGGTCATCTTGAAATATTGATGAAGCATTTGAGGTAAAACTCCAATGTAAGAATGTATTCCTAATCAAATGCCTTTGTGAACTAGGCCTTTTTGAAAAAAACATCAGACGTGGGAAGATCTGAGTTTTCCTTTTTTATTATGCGTGTACTCGATGTGATGTCTAATTTTATATTTTGAGAAAACAAAAGAGTTGCCTACAAAGAACCAGGTAAAAAGTAGAAAAATACTGTTAACGTGAGGTGTCCTCCTCGTAGCGGAGAACTAAAACAACAGTTTGCCTTTTTGCCTCCATCTTTCTGAATGTGAACTGTGAGAAAGGAGAGGTAAAGAGAGACGGAGAGTCACTACGACTCTCTGAATCTCACCCACAGTCTTACTGTAGCCTAGAGGAAAACAATGCAAAACACTCACTCAAGCCTATACATATGTACCCCAGAGGAAATAAGCTTGTAGCCCCAAATGTTTTTGCTGTTCCTTTACATGTTGTGTTTTTGTAGGTAACAAAAGGAATGTCTTTCTTCAAAGAACTGAGAAAATTGTAAAAACTGTGTTGCTTGGTTTGGTGGCTAGAACTAACGTGGATTACGTTTCTTTCTTTCACTGTCTCATCCAGTTACATGACCTGAGTTAAGACCAAATTGGTTTTTGACAGACAGAGAGGTGGGCTGTAGCTTTGCCAAACAAATAGAAAATAAAAATGCACAAAAACATTGGCGACCTGTGTGAAGGAGAAATGTGTCTAAAGAGACCAAATAAAGCTGTAAGTAATGAAACGTCCACCACAGCAACACACACTCAGCCACAGCCACAGCCACAGTCTGGGCCGACGTATCCACCGGTACATCAGCACGAGCCCACTGTTAACACTGTACTACACTGCACTGTTAAAGAGACACAAATCTGTACACCTGTTAAGTTATGAGAAAGAAATGCCTCATCATGTGACCAAGTTCTCTTTAGACCAACATTTGCAGTTCCGTATGCTCCTATTAATAATGAATTAGGTATTTATTGATGTAGAAAATCTCCAGAATGCCAAAAGGAGGAGCTTTAATAAAATAAAAATCACCCTCTCTGAACTAAATCAAAACTCTTTAAATATCAGTGAATCAAGGTCTGTCCTTTCATGTTTTTGTTCAGCATACGGCAGTTATTGGTTTACTTCTGTTTCATTTGTGTTCCTTTCTTTTTACAATGTTTAAATTTACCAAATTAATTTATTTATAACTCTGCATATTTATTCATTTTTATTTTTCTACAACTTTTTGTTCCGTTTTTGGTTCCTTTTCTTTGCGTGGTCATATTTCTATTGTTGTTACAACAGATTGTAAGATTCTTTGGTGGCTTTTTTGAATATGTATTATAAGTAAATGAGCCATTTGTGCGCATGTTAATCAAATCTGTTCAAATGGGTCTGTCCAATCACTCATTTAAAAAACGATGAAACCAAGTGCTTTTTTGTACGTTTTCTTGTTGTAGACCATATCACCTGAGACATCCGCATTGTCACGATGATGGAAAACTGACCGAGGGTTTTCCCTGAGTCGAACTTTTTGTTTGTAAGCTCAGTGGCTGCTGCGCTGTTGCTCTTTTACGTCACGGCTTGTACTTGAATTTACATATATTTATTTATACAAATTGATTCGGCCAGATGAGCTGAGCTGTTTGTCTGAATTCCATTTTGGCAGAGAGGATTATAGCTGCTGTCTTTGAGGAATGGCTCTGGTCAAAGCCTGTTGTGTAGTTTAATAGATAATGTGTATGACGTTAGATTAATTTACTCTGTTTTTGTTTTGTTTGTTTGTTTGTTTGTTTTTTTTGTTTGTTTTTTTTTTTGAAGTTTGTAAATAAAGAGAAACATGCTCAGAATACCACTTTGTTGAATTTACTTGTATATGTTAACATCTGTTTGAACAAAGCGCCTTGGTTCTACCCAAAACATATCAGCATGCACATAATAAAATACTGAATCTTTCATGAACATGAATAAATTTCATACACCAACCACTATAAAAATCAATACATCATAAATTTCACATTTACCAAAGAGTTGGAATGCTTATTAAAAATCTGGAATTCAGTGAGCACAGAAAGATGAAAAAAGCATGAACTCATCATAAAACCTAGTGAATGGTCACAGAGGCTCAGAGTGCTTTCTGGGAGAATATTGGCCTATATGGGCCCAATACATTTTAAAAGTAGATCAAAAATCTTACTAAAAGTTTAGAATTTAAGTAAATATACGTTTTCTGTTCCTACTGAGGCAGTGCTTCTTGGTGGAAGGTGCCATGTTGGATTACAACTGCTTTGTGTTCCTCCACTGCCAACAAAATTTAATATGCATTTTAGGATTGCTTACATCTGCATATTACAAGGTGGATGTGGTAAATAGGCATTGCAAAGTCACTTTATCGCAAAATATTTCTAAATCTCATACGGTGTTTGTTGAAGTACTCTGTATCGATGATGGAGTGGCTAGTAGCGATAGAACTCTGTTTCCCAGCATGCTCTTGTGTAGAACGTGACTATGCGTTTTCTTCTTTTTACTGACCGTTGATGGTAGTGGCGGAGGCAAAAAGGATTAAAATGTAATTTATAATTGACTGCAACAGATTGGGTTTAATCTATTTATCGGAGACATCAAATGATGGATTCTGAATCTATTTTTTCCATCCCTGAAAATTGCTGGAATTTTCGGTTTGACTGTGAAGCAACAGGAGTCGATGGATAATAAACCCGGAAGGTGGCAGTGATGCAACACTCAGGAGGCCAACTGTCGGTAAGAAGCCACAGAAGAAGTCGCTGCCAGACAGCGCAGCACAGTAGCCGAGTGCTAATGCTGTTTCTGAGAGGAGGAGGTGGTGGAGGCGAAGAAGAAGAAGGAGAAGCGATAACAGAAACGTCGCGCTGACCTGTGCTGGAAGCGGAAAGGAACAATGAAAGTCACAGGAGTAGTTCTGTGAATCTCCGACCGTCTCCGTGTTTGCTTTGTCAACGTGTGTAACATTGTTTTCGGAGGCCTGTTGCTAACTACGGGAAATCATTGGGCTGGCCCGGGAATAACCAACACCAAACAGGATCTCCGATGATTGAGTTTTTTCATCGTATTTGTCGGAACGAGTGAGCTTCTCCATTCACAAGCAGACGGAAGTTGTGCTGCTGCCGCAGCTGCTGCTTACTGTTCCCTGGCATAAATCAACGAAAGGCGAGAGGAGTGGAGTTTGACAGCTTGCTAACATTAGCTCCCCTTAATGTGTTTACAAGCTAAACCAGCTGAGATCTTCTGAAGAAGCTCCACTCCGGTGTACGGGCCGCTGGTAGTGTTGACATTTGTTCTTTTATTGTTGATTGTCGCTCTTATTGTCTACTGTCTGCCCGTCTTTAGCTCGACAACCCGATCAGAGGGTTTTCCAGCCAAGGTGATCACATCTGAAGTCTTATCGACTGCTGCGCAAAGTTTGTTATTACCTCACTGGGCTAGAAGAAGCAACAGCAGTCATTTATCTCCTCTGACCTTTCCCTGTTTTACTAAGAAAAACAGACACCGATTAAAACAAAATCCAAAGAGGTATTTCCTGAGTTTTAATGCCATTCTCACTGTCCAGTTCAGCTCACTGTCCCGGATGACGGCTAAAAGAGGGGTGTGGACTTCACTGTCACCATCGGGTGTCCCCCGTTCTGCTTTGTGTAATTAATCACTCATCAGCCTTCTTCAACTGCTGCACCCGAACTTACAGATCTACTTTTGAGCAGATCTGCTCCAAAATAAACCAGGGACCATCATGAATCGTTACCTTCCAGTGGCACGGCAGCACTTCCTGGCTGCTCTTGCCAGCACTAGTGTGGTGGTAAAGAGTATAAGTGCTGTGGTGGTTCTCCTCTATTTGCTGTCATGGCCTGTTGACACTCCGTATACACTGGGGGTGACACCAGGATTTCTTTTTCCACCCAATTTCTGGGTATGGACACTTGTGACCCACGGAGTGGTGGAGCAACATGTGTGGGGTGTAGCAGCCAACGTGGGGACAGTCCTGGCCTGTGGGCGCCTCCTGGAGCCTTTGTGGGGTGCTTTGGAACTTCTGATCTTTTTTGCAGTGGTAAATGTATCGGCAGGCATCCTGTCAGGACTGTCGTACCTCCTAACTTATGTGGCCACATTTGACCTGGGCTTCTTGTTTGGTGTGCGTGTCCATGGAGCAGCTGGGTTTCTCGGAGGTGTCCTGGTGGCACTGAAGCAAACCATGGGTGATACAACAGTGCTGAGAGTGCCACAGGTGAGGCTAACAATTTCTGTGCTGCATTCAGCACTTGTTTTTTTCACTTGGTATACTTTTCTTGTAAAGCCAGATGACAGCACAGTTAAACAGAGAATGTAGTATAACAAGAAACAACAGTGGAGTCACTAGTTTTGAGAACAGGACTGAAAACAAATATTTGCCTATACTAATTGTCAAATAATGGACAGATATAAAAAGCTTTGTTGAATGTTCCTTTTTAAATTTTTCCATATTACAAGATAATGTGTTTGAGACTGTTTTACAAGCACTGATTATTTAGGATGAAATTATTCTGTTTAGGGACTGTCATAGAAATGGACTGAACAAGTGTGTGTTGATGGTGATTAGTCATTAAGCAAACAATTGAAGGTGTTTTTCCTGCAGGTGTGATGACTTAATTTTATGATTGGACTGAAACAGTCAGGCATGATGACTGAGGCATTCAAAAAGTATTTAAAGCTACAGCATTGGATTAGTGTTGAAGTAGTAGCAAGTAGTAGTTGTAGTTTGTTACCCAACATTTAACCTTTGCCTGTTATGTACTGTATGTAGGAGAACACACATTAGCCTTCAGTCATTAGAAACAGAAGTAATTATTTATGTTCTTTTCCAGTCATTAAACATTTAACGCTCAAACATATGCCACAATAACTTCATGTTTAATCTTCCACCTTCACCATGGCGGTTTCTGTTTCTTCTTTCTTAGGTGAGACTCAAAGCAGCTCCAGCCTTGGTGCTTCTCCTCCTGGCCTTATTGCGCCTCTCTGGGCTGCTTGACAGCTCTGCCCCTCTGGCTGCGTACAGCTACGGTGCCCTTTCCGGCTGGGTCTACCTGCGCTTCTACCAGAGGCACAGCCGGGGTCGTGGCGACATGTCAGATCACTTTGCCTTTGCAAGTTTCTTCCCTGAGGCTCTTCAGCCGGTTGTGGGATTGCTGGCAGGGCTGGTCCACTCCGCCCTAGTAAAGATGAAGCTGTGCAGGAAGATGGTGAAGAGGTACGACGTCGGAGCACCCTCCTCCATCACTATCAGTCTGCCTGGGACAGACCCACAGGATGCAGAGAGGAGGAGGTGAGTCAGATCAGTTAAATACTATACACTAAATGATGTAGATAAATCAAGTCTACATCGTTGATGCATGTTTTGTTCAGATTAGCGCTGTCAAACGACCAATAGTTTTGATCTGTTTATCAGAGGATAGCTCTAGATGAATCATGATAGAAGTTTTAAATGATCTATTGTTCTTTTTTTTAATGCCAAGTACATTTACACACATTGGGAATTTGTCTTAGTGAATGGATGCACCCAATTGACTAAGAATGGAAAAAAGTAAAGCCTAAAATGTAAAAATGTTAGTGTTGTTCATTAATTGTTACTTTTATTGTTATTATTAAAGGGTAGCTCTCAATTAATCATGATTTATTTTGATCTTAATCAATCACGATTAATCATGCTAAATCAAATAATCACTCCTAAACATGAGAAAACATTGTTTATGTGGAGCGGTGGGATGGCCCTTGTACTTTTAAATCTGAATTAATGAGTGTTGCCTGGACAATAGTCTGTATGTATAGATGGGGGACAGGGTTCACTACTGATGTTTCCTTAGTGATACCATAGGAACAGATACACACCTCTCAGTTAAAGCGGTCAAGTTCTGACAACAATGAGAAAAAAACAAGGGAGACAAAGTACAAGTAAAACACAAGTCAAAATTGCTTTACTAATTTTGATACAAAGGGTTAAAATGACATTAACAGTACAGCATGTTGTTACACAGCTGTTACACAGTTGTTACATAGCTTCACCAGGAACTGATGCTGACCAACTGTCTCGTCCCTCTTTCCCAGACAACTGGCCCTCAAAGCGCTGAACGAGCGTCTAAAGCGTGTGGAGGACCAGAGTGCGTGGCCCAGCATGGACGACGAGGAAGATGATGACGAGGATGAGGTCAGAACTGATACACAGCCTCTGCTTTCGGGTGGGCGTGACCTCTCCTCCATGATGAGACCAGCGGGAGGATCCATGGGTGTCTCCGCGTCTTTGTCCTCGATGTCTCAGAGCAGCGGAGCGTCTTCAGCCGGTGGAGCACAACACCCAGAATCCAGCATTATCAGCTTTGAGGATGCACCTTCTAGATCCTAACCTTCAGAACGTCCTGAGGTGTGCGGACGATGTGCATTGTCACTGGCAGATGCCGGCAGTCGGTGTCCGTAGCCAGTATACTAATGTAATAAGTGATTAGGTATATGCTCCGTAACACACACACAAGTCTCTGAAGAGTTTAAACAACGCAGCAGTGTACCCACAACTCTTCTGTCGATTTCATTGTGAAGCCCAGAGATGTGGCACCTGTACAGTGCTGTCACTCCAGGTCCAGTTCTGGTAAACGAATTGCTCAACAACGCTTAGTTCTTCTCATGCATTCTGCAAACAAGGAAAGCTGTCCATACATTCTCTCTGGTCCATCTATATTTCTGACTTGGAACCCTGTCACATGCTTCATGTCGCTTTCTCTTGGTTTTCTAAGTAAATAACAACATGGGTGTACAATATTTGTTTTTTGTTTTTTTTTCACAGAGCAGCAGCAATCGTTTGCTGATTGACTGCTGAGAGAAGATTGTAAGAGACAAACACTCATGTTCTAAAATCGTTCTATTCTGGGTGAAAAGCAGACTTTTAGTGCTTAACATGAGAAAAGCATGTGGACCAGAGAAAGGAATCGGCTGCAGGGCTGACCTTTTGATGAACTCTATGTCCAAACTCAAAGTGCCAGGTGGAAGAAAAAGGAAAATCCAAACCAGGCTCATCTGCTGGCAGGTTTGTCAGTTGAACAGCAGAAGAACTGACTCTACCCATTGTTTTAATTCCTGAAGTTCTCACAGAGGAGCTGTTTTTCATTTTCCTCCTTAAGTCTGTTAACGACTGAAGAAAATCAACAAAACCAAGAAGCTCTGTGTCTGTGCATTAACAGAGAAACGTGTGATTGGTGTTGTTTTCAAACAGATGCTGGGATTACCTTTTGGATTACTCCTGGGTTTATTATTACATTTTTAACGATTCATTTTAAAACCTGTACCATGTTGCACTTCCACATAAGGGTGTAAACAACATGAATCAGAAATCACTCTCTAGTTAATCTGATTGCAGAGCAGTGAAGGATGTGTTTGTTGGGATTGTATTGGTCATTTGAAACCATTACAAATGCAGAAAGATGCTGTTGAAGGTTAGATGATAGCTTGGTTGGGTATGAGCAGACTTTTGTGTTTGTTTTTTTTTTTTTTTTTTTTTTTTTTTATTTAAAGAGTGAAATCACAGTGAGATGTTGACATAAAGATTGTGTTGCGTCACACACTGAGTCATGAAGATTGGTGATCGAATGGAAAGAAGATTCCAGCACTGATTTGTGCTGCAGGTTCCTGGGTCACATTTCTTGTATGGTTTTTTATGTGTAGAGAGTGGTAAACTGAGGGTGGTGGTGAGTGAATTCCTTGGGGTGTTAAAGGGTGCTTGAACTTCTTTTAAATATTCAAAATTATTATTCATAAACTCCTTGGAGACAGAAATATCAGTGAGAGATTTGTTTCAGTGACAGTCGCTGTACCATTCGCATTTGATTACGTTAGCAATCCATTCAGTGCAATCCCTATTTGTCTTTATTGATTAGGTCGGTCGCACCTAATAAATTACTATGGATGTTGCAATTAGAGTGGTTGCAAACTGACGTGTAAAGCTTTTTAAATTGTGATTATAAAGTTGGAAATGTCTTTACATTAATTGAAAATGTCCGGTTCGAAGGGAAGGAAACTGTCTGGTTTTGATGCACACATTAAATGGTTTAAAAATGGGATGTTGAAACCATCTTTCATCCTTTTAATGCTGATTAAGTCTTTGGTCTTTTTTTTCTGGTAGAAGAAACTCATTACATCCTGCTGCTGCCTGTCACTCTACAGGCGACTGCATTTGAAAGACAAATGTAGAAGATGATTTATGGTCTTTGTTATGGACAGGGATATTTAACAGATGATTTACTCACAGAGGACTGGGAAGCAGAATTTTCAGAAACCACAAAGTGATTGGTTTTAATTAAGACATTGACCATTACATGTTAAAGATGGATGTATTGTGGTTCAAATCCCTGTTCTAACTAACAACCTGTTACGTTTGTATGGGAGACAATCCAGGAGATGCCTTATAGATTATTTAATTTTGTAATGTGTAAGTGAGTGTTCAGTGACCACTGACGACAACATGACCAAAACCAGTTCAACTTCTGTAATTGAGTTAATACAGACTGGAGTATCAAATAAACCAAAACCCCTCCTGCTGTATACGTAAACTGCAATACTGTACTACTTAAATTACAACATGAATCTTAAGTTGTACAAATTCCAATTAAAAAAAAAGTTACTCAAATTTGTCTTCATGTTTGGAGATTGTTTTTAACCTAATGGCGTGTTGTTCTGGGAAAGTGAAAAGCCATAGTGTGATGAAAGTCTCTGTGTTTTGTCTTGTTCCGACTTCCTTTTTCTTTGTGTTTCTGTTGGCAGATGTATCAGTTTAAACATTAACAAATGGAACAAGACTGCCAATTACACATATTTCAAACTTTACTATAAAAAATGTTGAGATCCAGTCACATATCTCAGAGGTTTTAGTGCGGGCTTGGTTAATTGTGTTGAGGTCTATTTTTCTTTTAACACCCTTCTAGAAAAAAACAGTATATAAATAATAATGATGAGTCGGCATGCGCTCGAAAGCTAAATAGTTATTTGACCGGACAAACCATTTTCACCAGCAATCAGAATCTGTAGATAAACTTTGTGTTCAAAACAAGATCAAAACCAGATTTTTTTAAAATTTAATCTCCACACCTTCACAATGTCCCTGAATTTTCAAGAGTTGTATAATCCCTTATCACTCATGGATCACCAGTACTGTTACACTAGTTACAACTTTTTCCTCCTGTGCTGTGGCTGTTCCACACTTTTCTGTTTCAGTTCAACCTCACATGTTTCTTTACCCCTGTACAAAAAATAAAAATAAAAGTTGATTGTATAAAATAAGATTGTCTATTGATTTTATTGTTGTGATACTTGCTTTTCTGCACACATTTTTTAAAACTGTACTTTTAAACTTTCTGCACACATTTTTTAAAACTGTACATATCAGCAAATTTAGGAAGCATGTATACCCAGGCACATGTGGACTATTTTTCACTGGTAAATATTTTCATCCTGAAAATTTTATAATTATTCCCAAAGAATAAATATTGTTAAGAACCACATTACTATTAGACTTTAAATAATAGGAGGATAAATACAATTTTCTTTATTATGTGAGGAATTATCTGCACACCTTCCTAGCCAGGTGTCCTGTGTGCGCTTTGGCTGACATCAGAAACAGCTTCATTTTTAATGGGTACAGCTATGTTGAATTGTATTGTAACATTAGCCCACAAAATACTTTTTGTGTATTTACCCGAGATGACCACCAGGTGGTATAGTAAGTCCGGATGTAATTGTGACAGCAACTTTGGGTTCATCAAACTGTAAAAATGTTGAAATGGACAATTCTGTTATGATTAATTAAATCTAACTGTGGTAATAAATGAATAAAGAGATATCTACTAGTAAATGCATATTGATCGAGTAAATTATTTCCTTTTGTTATTTATTTGGAAAAGGGGAAACATTCCGCAAGATGACCAACTGAAGTGAACTTTAATGTGTTTATAGCTGTAAACCTTTACTATTCTAGTATTACACACTTGCATTCATTTCATTTCAAACTCATTGCTCTCGTCTCTGGTGCGTCGTGCCCGCGCAGGTGTGGCTCCCAGCTCGTGCATGTCACCCCTCCCCCCAGCTACAAACTACAAACCCGGGCTGCGCGCTCCCGTGAACTAATTCATTGTATGAGATACGGGAAGGAGCAGCGAGCGACTCGACTGGTTGGCAAACCGGCTAAGGTGCGGGAAACTGAAAAAACAACTGCTACATATATAAACTACAGGTAAACTACTTATTTTAATACCAAATGAAAGCATAGGCATGTCTGTATTATTGTGGTTTACTTTCAGAACCTGCTGGGCTGTTTTTTAAAGTTGTCCGGAGCTTTGAAAGGCCGTGCTAACTGTAGCTTAGCAAATTAGCCTACGTCTGCCAAGTTAGCTTTTCCTCTATACGATCTCAGTCTCATTGCCGCATCCGTCCGTACCTGTCAAACAATTATAATGGTGATACATTATCGCTTAATATAAAGTGTCTNNNNTTCCTAACTGCTTAGTGTTACTGAAGGTGAATGACTGCTGTCTGATAATGATATATGACGCTGTTTAACGACTATTGTTGTAGTAAAACGACCAGTAGTGGACTTTTTTATTAAACAAGCCATACTCCTTTTCTATTCGTTTAATAGGTTTTAATACGTGTCAGTACAAATGGGACAGGCAGTCTCCACGTCGTTTCTCCATATGAGTTTTTCCACATTACATTAATTTCGTCCTTCTTTTAAATGTCTTCACCTTTCGGTGGATTTATCTTTAGTCAATGCCTCAGTGTTTGCTGTTCTTACTCGGTGTCTAGTTTGGATCAGGGCCACCCACCCATTCTTCCACTGCGGACACACTAGCCATCTGTTGCCTATGTGATGACGCCATCTTTCTGGTGACCCACCCAGTGGCTGGCAGGTTTAAAAACACTGTTTGAATAAACACTGGAAGCCCTCTTCCTTTCTGACACTAGACATGAAGCATTTTCTCTGTGCTGACTGTGATGCCCATACAAAAGCCTAGTCATTTTTTCAATGCACCACCCAACCAGTCTATAGATATTCAAACAGTACTAAGTCAAGGCTGGAGAAATGTGATCTGGGCTAAGACCAGTCATGGTGGGAATTCCAAATGACACCCAATTGTGTTGACAAATATAGGGATTTTTGTCTAATACCTAATCAAATAAAAATAGTTATTTTTCATATATTATTCAATCTGATGTTGTTCGTACTGGGGAGCATCATTTTGTATTATGAGCATCCCAGCATGTAATGTAGATGAGGGTAGGAGGCAGAATTTGCTGTAGCTTTCACACTCTCTTGTCCATGAAGCTGTGAAGTAAGGTTTTATACATGCCATCACTCTGTCAGAAAAATGCACCATTCTGCAATTGCTCTATGATTAATAGCTAATGGCCAATATTCCACCATAAAAAATATGTTGGATATTTGTAAAACAGGCAATCGCGTTTTTGTGAGTGGTTGTGTTTTTTTTTTTTTTTGTTTTTTTTTTTTTACCTTTTATTAATGCAGTGGAGGCTTTCTTACTCAGATTGATGCAAAGTGAATGGATACACACGGCTGATCACAAGGTGTTCTTGACTGCAAGAGCTTTATAGATATTGCCCAAAATTTATTACAGTTCACATGTTTTGTCATTTTGGCAGCTGTAATATATTTACAACATCTATGTAAAATGTGTAGAAACTAAGTCATACAAAGATAGCTTTACATCTTACTTATTTTACTGCAGAGTTGATTCCAAAAGGTTTTTCTTTTTGTTGTTTGAGTTATTTTTTAATCAAAGCAAACTATGTTTATGTGTGTCACCAGGCTGGTGCTTCTGGTGGCTGTGTTCTTGTCTGGTTATTGTAAGTTTGCTGGAGCATCAGCTGACAGGGATCTGTTTGTCCAGTTATACCACCCACAGGGGTTTCTGACAGCTGGTGTAACATGTTTGTCACATTAGAAAACACATTTAACCAGCCTCCCACTGTAGTGACTGCTGAAAAGAAACCTGAGAATGTCAGTCAAACTGCTATACAATTTGTGTTAGATGTAATACAAAATTAAAAAAAGATATGGAAATACAATTCCAAAAAAAATGTTATGAATATTGACATGGGAAAAAATTTTCTTGGTTGACAGTGTACTGGATCCCCATAAGTAGGGCAGCATTAAAGTAGGTTGCTACCATATTTAATCAATTTTCTGATATTTCTGTCTTGCACTTTATCTTCTGATTGTCATATTTCGAATATAACCTCATGGTTCTCAAATATGCAGTTAAAAGTGAGGGTTTATTAATGTGCTCTTTTCCAGCACCTAGTTATAGACATAACTTAGACAAATAATTATTACATGGCCCTTTTTGCTGTATTGGTTGTCAACATCTCTGCATCACTAATCTTTCCTCTCCGTGACAAATGTTCAGGAGAGTTTATTTGTAAGTTGACTAAAATACCTTTTCTTATGCAGTAATTAATCCTATTGCTACTTCAAATGCTCTTTGAGTTGCAGTTAGTTTTAATGTGAAAATTGGAGCTGGCTGTTTGCCATGGTGTCTTGCAGATATGACTAACATATTGCCAACAGCCAGAGATGGTGATGGGTGTGGGTTGGTGTTAGTTTCACATTTTGTTGGTGCCATGTAGATGCATCCCAAGAAGTTTTATATTAGTTTTTTAGAATATGGATGTAAACTTTTTTTAGCCAAATTGGGTTGTACAAATCCTTTTTTTCACTCATAGAATGTGATTGATTTTTTTTTTTTTTTTATGACTCACAAGCCTTGTGTATCTCCATCCGTTCATTATCTATATCGCTTAGTTCTTTGTGCGATTACTGGGGAAGCTGGGGAAGGGGTGGCATTGGAGTCAATCCCAATTGTCAACGGTTAAGGCCAGGGTACACCGTGGACAGTTTGCCAGTCATTTACAGGGCCACATATAGAGACAAATAACCCTGAAACCAGTAAGCGGAGTACCCAGAGAAAAATCAAACACACGGGGAGAACATGCAAATCCCGTACGGTATACATGTGCAGTAAATGCTTGTAGCTAGTCAAGGGCAGATTAGCATTATGTATTAGTTATTTTCATGGAAGTTATGAAATCAAGGTCAGTAAAGCCACATAACCTGATAACTAATAGGTTCCTGTGGCTTTTACTATTAAACCACATTTTACATCTACGGGAATAGCCCTGACAAAAGTTCATTTCCTTTTTAACACCCACATTTTAGCTGTCCTCTTGTGATCATAGATAAAAGATGGTAAAAGCCACTCTGAGTCCTAGTGTGAATTCTACTTTTAACTAATGAACCATGCTGTGACTTGCACTTCTGATTCACCTATAGTATGTATTATTACCTATTTCAGTGATTTAATATTGGCAGAGCTCTTAAAGGAAAAGTGACTACAGCTTGCTTAAAGGCACCCAGGTGGCTTTTGTTAAAATGCAAGCACAATGATGTTTTCATTGTACCAACCAAATGTTGCAGGCTTTGACTGTGCACCCAGCTCCAGGCTACAGCTGCCCTATTTTTTATCTTTTTACCTCGGTCATAAAGGAAATGGTTTAATCTTTTTTGACAGTGCTGTCCTACTTAGAGTTCTCCTCCACCACTCAGACACTGATTGCGGCACCCTGTGGCACTGTGGTGCATTCAGGGTCAGAAAATAAATGGAACGTGGTAACACAAATTTTAACTTTTGTGTCTGTGTTCACCTATTTACAGTTATTGAAACACTGTAGATATTTGGCATAGAGTATAATGCAATCCTTTGGATGATTTTACTTATTGCTGAAATCTGCCTAGATTCTAGGAAGCATATGCTTTGAAGGAGAAGAGACATAGTCCTAAAGTAACATAAGGTTTTGAAAAAAAAATTTCTGCTGTGCATATCGATTACAGTAATGAACATATCTTAAATATAATGGGACAAAGGAGTGAACTTAATTGGCATTGACATAACTAAAGCGGTAAATATGTATTGGATCACAGTGTTGCTCAAAAACCCAAAGACCTGGTGAACATAGAGAATATAAAGTTTGCGGAAATATGCCTTTACAACATGCGAGGCTCTGAACTTGGCTAGAGTTGCTCTTTCGTGGTTTTTGATTGTCATTTCATCACGTGCACACTGCATATCTGGTCCAAATGCGCTTCAAATGTCAAGCAATAATTAGTTCATGATCCTTTTTATAGTAAATTAACTGTTCAGAAAAGGGTTTCTGAGTCCACGGGATGTTCTTTAATCTTTATAGACAGCCTATAATCTTCAGATTGTGACATTGATTTAGTGGTATTCAGTATGTATATTATCAGTTGTTTAATTCAACCTTCATCACTGTCATTGTATCCATCTCCAGGGATGGCAGCCATCCGTAAGAAGCTGGTGATTGTGGGTGATGGAGCTTGTGGAAAGACCTGCCTTTTAATTGTCTTTAGTAAGGACCAGTTCCCAGAGGTCTACGTTCCCACTGTTTTTGAGAACTATGTTGCTGACATAGAGGTGGACAGCAAACAGGTGAGCAAGCTCTCGTAGTTGTCTCATAGCTTATATTTCATTCATTTTACAAATGCTATTCTGTGGTGATGTATAAACAAATGCAGCTATGTGCTCGAACATCCTCTTTAACACTTCTCAAAGGGCAGAGCAAATGTTTTTTGTCTTGATCTATGGTGTGTTTGTCAGGTTGAGCTGGCCCTGTGGGACACAGCAGGTCAGGAGGACTACGACAGGCTGAGACCCCTTTCCTACCCAGACACTGATGTCATTCTTATGTGCTTCTCCATAGACAGCCCCGACAGCTTGGGTGAGTACACAACACGTACACACAGAAATTCACAATATAGAATGTTTTCATATAATGCAACATCGTCATCCTTCCTATGCACTCCCCCATCTTTCTGTTCAGTTATTTCTGGGGCCAGTAGATGGTGTGTTCTTCCTGTTGTGCCTGCTGGTGGGGGAACTGCACATATTTGTCATTGGGTGTAATGTAGCCTCATACTAAAACAATGTCTTTTCTTTTAAAAGCACTTATCTCTCACCATAAATAAGGAATTTTACCTACAGTGAATGCTGCTCAATAAATGAAGTACAGCACATTATCGGTACCAAGACCAAAATGAGAGGAAGTTACAATTGTGACAGAAACAAAGGGTTACTGTTATAGAGTTTCCAAATCATAATTTTTACAGGGACATTATTTTTGTCCAAAGCAGTGTTTTGCTGACTAAGTGGAATGGTTTTGTTCACTGATGTTCAGCACTGATATGGAAACACATTCTGTCTTTGTCTAGCTGTTTAATGTTGTATGGACACATATAAGTTAATTTGTAAAAATTAACTTTATTACATTTTTGAACTATCAAAGTGTTTTTCTGCACTATTCCAATAAAAACATGTTTCTTTATATTTGGCGCATCAGTAACGAGTAGTTTATTTAATCAATTTATGTTATGTATATATTTGGCATTGATACCTGATGTTTTTGGAAATAAATATTTTGGACAAAAAGTCATTGAGCTTACCATTCTTTCACAGAAAACATTCCAGAGAAGTGGACCCCAGAAGTCAAACACTTCTGCCCCAACGTTCCCATTATCCTTGTCGGTAACAAGAAAGACCTGCGCAATGATGAGCACACACGTCGAGAGCTGGCCAAGATGAAGCAGGTAGTTTATTTTCTTTAATAATATTAATGGTTAATTATTGGAGGTTAAAGTCAAAGTTAATTGCAGAATGGGCAGCTGATTCAAGTAACTGAGCAGCAGTTACTTGAATCGGATGCCCATTTTGCATTTAACTATTAAGTGGGACTGCATTAATACTATAAATCTCCAGGATTATCTGTCAAGGTAGTAGATCTCTTCTCTCAGCACCCATCATGTCTGTTTATTATATGTGTATCTATAACCCATTTGTCTTTTTTTACCAGGAGCCTGTGAAGTCGGAGGAGGGCCGGGACATGGCCGGAAGAATCGCAGCATTTGGTTACATGGAATGCTCTGCCAAGACGAAGGACGGTGTGCGGGAGGTGTTTGAGATGGCCACCAGGGCAGCACTGCAGACTCGTCGAGGAAAAAAGAGCAGCAAATGTGTACTGCTCTAAAGTGGCCAACATTTGGACTGGTTTTTCCCCTGGGCTACTGCACACAGGGCTGGGGCTTGGGACCGTGGGGTGACTTGATGGGAGAGGGGAGGGACGGGAGGAAAAGCAGTAAACTACTACCGCTGTAAAATGGCTGTTTGTCGGATTGAATTTACCCTGGGAGGTGGGTTCTGGATTCTCTGACCGGGCTGGGCGGGTAAGCAGATGGATCAGTGGCGAGGGAGCACAGGAAATAGCTACCAGTGTAAACACTGGGATATGTACCTGTAGGTTTACCACCAAAGTGGGAAATTCCACCAGCCACTTCCACTGTCTGAGAACATTAGACACTGGTTCATAAAGAAAAAACACAAAAAACAACACAGAATGATTTAAGAAAAGTGCATGTGATTTACAGTATGAACAACACAGCTAATTAATATATAAGGTAATGGTCAGAGGTGGTTCATTTATAATCAGGTGTCATTTTCTTCTTTAAAATCAGGCACAAGGAAAAGTTTCATCTTTTCATAGAGTCCACCATGTTGAAGCAGTGGTCATGTGTTGTCAGCTGCTCAGGTCTTGTGTGTTGTATTATCAGAGAAGAGGCGTGGAGCAGCGTGCTCTCATGTCCAGCTCAGTGCCACTGAGTCCCACAGTTGGCTAATCCTCTGCTTACAGGACTCAGTGACAAACTAGCTGAGCCCTGAGAGTACTCTGATCATTTGTTTACTACTCTAGTAAACAAACTGTCATTTGTATAACTGTAGCCAAAGTACATGTGGGATTACAGTCAAATAGTTTTCAGTATAAACAGAGGTTCTCTCTGTGCATCACCAATTGATTTATAATTGCTAAGTAACATTGTCATTGTGTTTCCTGCTTTCAATATTTAACAGACCTGTGCAGTGCTGTGGATTTGGCAGGGTGATGGTCACATTCCTTTCCTCATTGTTAGGGAATAAACCGATGGGTGGTGCAAATGACAGGTGAATTGTGAAATCCTTGCGTTGGGTGACAAAGATGGCTTCCTGCCCTGAGTAGTACAACCTGAGCTAACTCAGCTGCTCGTTCTCGGCTCCTATCACTTCTTGTTCCACAAAAATGACTGCTGGTGCTCATCTTTACCTGGGTGTAAACCAGGTCAATGAACAAGAGAGTCAAGAATGTGTTATGTTATGTGTATGCATACATACATAAGTAGAGCTGCTCTTCATATTTAGGATGAATGACTATGCATGCATATGGTTCAGATGTGCAAAAAACATGACCAGGTTGGTGTTTGAGGGAAAGTTGTGCCTGTAATGTTTGTGCAACTTATCCTTCATGGGAAAAACATTTCTACCTTCGTTTTAGTAGTAATAGTCAATATTAAAAAGAAAAGAAAAAAACATCGATCTTGTTTGTTGAGTATACTGTACATGAAAATGCCAGCATTGTCAGATGAGGCAGTTGGGAAGATCTGAAGTACAAACATTCAGGTTAAATTAACCATTCTGTGTATGTTGAAACCCTTATTTTAGAGAATCTGAAAGATCTTTTGTTTTTACGAATGATTTAAATGTCACCAGCCTTTCATGACTTTCTGTTTAATAACCAGGTTGACTTTATTTTTCTTGACTATCTGCAATCTCCTGTTCTTATTCCTGGCCTGCACGGAGGAGCCTGTTCCACAAATCCAGTTTTGTGTTGTTTTTATTTTTTATTTTTCCTGCTTTAAATCGTCATAAATATGTGTCTATCAGTATTTAAAAAATAGGAGGTGAAAAACTAGAGAACTGTCCACATGCCGTTCCTCCTGTTTATTTTTAGTCTTTTCCAAAATCTCTCAGATAATTTACTGTTGCTTGCAATGACTCGTCAATCATGCCTTGCAATAGAAACTTTACTGAAAAGACAAATGAAAAACAAGTCTAGTTTCCTCCGTAATGTACAAATCATTTTCTTGTATTTCTTTTATTGTATTTTAAATCCTAATTTTTTGGATGCTGAAGCAGTGCCGTAAACAAGGAGCAGGAAAACCAAGCTGTATGCAAAGTCTGTAAATATGAAATGTGGGTTTGTTCATACTCGACTATACACATGCACAGGACTGGAAACTGTATTTGTAAACTAGCTTTGGTTTGTGTAATAAATTACTTTACTATAACACCCAAGCCTGTTTTCATTATGGTCTGGATCAGTGGTCTGGATGAGATGAGTTTCTGAGTTCACTTACTTCACACATTGTATGAATAATGGATTAATGGGTGACTGATTGATATGAAGTGTTGAACAGTCGAGCCTTAGTAACAACCACAGCATGGGACAAATAAAATTGGTGCAATCACTGAAAATGTGCAGAGAACAGCAAGAGGTGAAACTATTGGAGGTGTGGAGCAATCAAAAAATATATATAAATCTTAATTATGTCACACTTAATGCATTTGACATTGAAATTAAGTCTCTCATTTACCATAAAGCTCCACTGCAGACTCCTAAATCACTTTTTAGTTCTCCATCCCTCAGATTAGTCTTTGCTGAGCGATTGTCATTGTCGAACCATGGCTCTACACGCAGTGTGTGACACAACAGTGGATGTGGAAGACAATGTATTAGTGAGGCGTGTTGTTAATGGGTTTATATCAGTGTGAATCTGTGGTTCACTGCATCAGTAAAAATCCTTCAGTGGACACCCAATGAATGACGATCCCAACTGATCATAAAACACATCGATCTTTGAGTGTAATTCAAACCTCAGAGGTTTCAAGGCTTGAGCTACATCACAAAGCAGCATACTTACAGGACTCTTTAAGGCTAGCCACACTGCAAGGTAATCACGTTTCTTCTTTTTTTTAAATAAAGTGATTATCTTGGAATAAGCACACAGAAAATCATGTTATTAGAATGTTTGCAATTAAATATTCACACAAGCGAAATCAGGGTACACTGTCCAGGGTGTTGGCATTGTGGCTCTATCAATTATTTTATTCCTACTCGGTTACAAATGGTACATATGGTTAAAAATAATAATTCAATTATATGAATTAATGTAACAAATTAATATATTAATATTTGTATGACAAGTTACATAATATCTACAGAGAACACATCATTTGAGATGATTATTGCTGGGGAGGGGCCTTAGAGCATTTCACTTGCAAAAAGAGTGGAGTGTGTGGGATGCTGAGGTGATGCAGTTTCAGCCTGTGTGGGATGAAACTGATGCTGAATGTTCAGAAATAATGTGGCTCTGGGTGTGTATCTGTGCTGTGGTTGTGCAAGGCAGTGTGGAGGAGTAAATCAACAGTACTATCATGGAAAAACATGTGATCAGGACAATGTATTTATTACTCCACCGAAGACGCTCACTTTCCCACACTCCCAATTCATTAGGCAAATGTCTTTAAGCCATGTACTAATATTAAATGACTATTCAATAATGCCAGGAATAAAACACAGGTTGTCAACCTGGTTTTAAAAAAGTAGAGTACACTAGGCTAATTTTCATTCAGGTTTTGATGTCAGCAAATATTATTCTATGATTATTTTAGCCCTGGATTCCAGGTCTGTACTTGGACATCAAATGTCAAACTGACATTTGATGTCCAGGCAATAACTACTGAAGCATGAAAAGAACACAACTTGGTTAGACAAACTGCTGTTGTATCTTCATATTGTGGAATGGAGGGTCACAATTGACCTTTTGGCGAGACTGACGAATAATATTAATATACTTGAAATGTGACAAATTGGGCCTAGAGCAAAGTTACCATGTTCGAGATTAAAAGTAAGCTTATTCACCACAAGGCTAAGCTCGTTTACTATTGTAATATTAATTGACCACTATAACCATGACTCAGTTTAAGAGACCACTTCTTTGAATCTTTCAGTGTAATTGCTCCTCTGACTGACAACCGCATGGGCTCATATTAAAACCACAGAGCTAACAAAGAGGAAGGAAGTTCGTCATTGCCTCCTCCACCCTAACTTGTGTCCGGGCATCATTTAAGAGAGAGCACAGCTTCTGCTGAGACACGTGGGGAAATGAAGCTGGTGAGAGGCTGCAGTGGTTGAATAACAAGACTGTTTCTGTCTTTAACCCCCACTTCTCCGCCGCCTTCTGCTGCACGTCTTTCTCCTCCTCCACCTCCCCCTTTTCGTTCTCTTCTTCTTCTCTCCTTGCGCTCTCCCCCGGCTACAGACTGGAGAAGAGTACGGCTCAACGCAGTGCAACTGCCGCCTTTATATACCGCTCTATTTTTAGCTCTCACAAGCCCAACTATTTTTAACCAATATGATTTCATCGCCCGTCTGGCTTGTCCAATGGGAAGTCACGCAATGGAGGCGACCCGTCCAATTAGAGAGAGGTAAAAGAAAGAGGAGGCGGGTGACAGAAGAGCATGGAATCAGGTAGAAAGATGGAAGGAGACAAAAACCTCTCACTCTACAACTGTTTCTAGATACTAGAAACTCACTAGCTCAGGCTAACACACTGCTGAGCACTCAAACTAGACAAAGGTATCAACTCCAATTCATATCGTCCTAGGAATGTTATACTTATAATATTACTTTTTCTCGGTAAAATAGAGAGCAAACTATGAACAAAGGCTTCTTTGCAGCCAAACTTTTTTAGCCATTTTGGGTGTTCTAAAATAATTTGATTGACATCCTAATTTTTCCTAATTGTGATTTCGCTGTCTTTTAGCTTTGCCTGTGCTGTTGTTTAGGCATGTTTTGGCTCTATTAAAGCTATATTTATCCAGTTTAACTAACCTTTTGTTAGATTGATGTAAACAATTTCAGTTTATTAGTTCCATCACACTCACCTGTGTCCTGTTGTTTCTGTTCATCAGTCGCACTCATGTCACCTGGTGCCCTGGGTTTATAGACATCTCTCGTTCACTCAGTCTTTTATGGATCATGTTGTATATTGTTCCTGTTCTGTGTCTAGGGCCTCTGTGTGATTATGGTTCATGTTCTCCTTGTCGGCTTGTCATCTCTGTTCCTGCCTGGTCCTTGGTTTCTGTGAGTTAAGACTGATTTATGAAATTAAACTGTTCAAAATACTTTTTGAACCTGATCTCTGTTCCTCCAAAACTGTATTTGTACCCCCCCCCCCCACATGTTACACTACTTTTTGAAAATGTTTTCAAATAATATTTCTTCATAAGTTAACAGACAACACCTAGTATGCGTTAGCCTCTGTTATGAGAAATACAAACATAAAAAAATTGAAAAATAAAAATGTTTACACGTGTAGTGATGTTGATTGTTGCTTGTTTGCAATATGTTCTTATTTGTTATTTTCTGCAACCTAGCAGAGAGATGTTAGAAAATGGCTTCGGTAGCAGCTGACACTTCCGTAGTTGCATCCTATAATAAACCCTCATTACTGTATGTGCGGTGTATAACGGCTCCATAAGCCGCGTAATGTAGTGGTGTGTTTTATACTGCTTTTGTATATGTACGCACTATAGAGCTCATCTTCTCGCTAGGCGATCTTTGTTGATGACTTTGGGTTGTGAAGCTGAACGTCCCTGTCTAGTGTGTATTTTTTTTTTGTTAGGACCCTGACAAGGATTGCCCCTGGACTGTGAGTCATATTGACGCCCACCCATTCTGTTATTTCCCCAACTTTATTTTTAACGCGCTTACAGCGTCCAGTGACCTCAGCATATCTCATCTGACAAGTTTCACTGATGTCTAACAATTATAATATTAATAATAATGACAACAAAAACAACTAATAATTATAAGAAAAAAGTATATCCACTTATTAACTTTTCAAGTCCATTGTCTCTTATTTATATTTTACAAGCAGCCTGCCATTGAGCAGTAAGCGCGCTCCCGTCAGCCGTGCTCCCGCACAAAAGGTTCCAACACACCATAACAGGAGCGCGCAGGACGGTCAAACCCACTCCCTCAAACACACCAACTCCACCCTGTCATAAACCCCAACACATCTGTTAGACAATTTAAATTCAAACAGCTCTCTGGTTATAAACTTGATTTACAAACGCTTTAAGAATTGTATCCATTAATAATAAAGAAAATATACTGACTAAGAATGTATGTCCAGATTAGATGGTGTTCTTGATGGTTTTATGGCTCTGCAGTAGTTCTCGATTTATGGCCGATCATAATAAATATGATATTGGACATTAGAGCAAACGCCATTAAACACCGTTGCAGCCCCCCTCCCCTTGTAAGTACACACATTAAACATTCATATGAGATCATTATTTTGATGTGACTAAAGAGTTACATATGTTACTTAGTGAAACATGGACACCTAGCGGTAAGTATACGTTATTGCAAAATTATTTTAATTCGATGGACCTTTGCTTTACTTTTTTCTCTTGTTCTGTTTCTCATCTCATTTTTCTTTCTGACGTCTTTGCGTGTTATTTATTGTCTAAATTTTGTTGTTCCTTTCAGAACTGATAGACGACTTCTTTCCATTATAATGTCTACCATTCAAATATCGAAGGAACTCAGCAACTCGCGATAACTCCAAGAATTCTGCACGTAGAAACACGGACCAAACGAAAGGTGGCAGCACTGTCATATTTAAGGTAATGTCATCTCAAATCCCGAGGGCAACCAGACTTAACTCTTATTTTAATATATTGGATAATTTTCTCCTACATTATAAGCTTTTGTCAAGACACCACTAATGTTGCTGAGTTGTTGTATTTAGAAAAACAGATATACTTTTTTGATCCCAAGCAGCGAAATTACAGTTACATTTATTGGATTATTTGTTATATATTTATCCATTTATTATTATTGTGCTACAAAAGCAACAAGTGGCAAAACAAATACCTATTAAAAACCATATAAATGAAAATAAACAATATTTAAAAAGATAAAGCAAGAATTATTTTAAACTAGACATCTTCCCTGGGTAAAACCCCAAAAAGCTGAAGTAATTAATCAATCATTAAATATATTTGGACATTTTTGAATTCTCCTATTTTATTGATTTGTTTTTTTTTCACAAAAAAGGTACAGAGGATATTTATTTATTTTAAAGAAGTAGCTGGTTTTTCAATATTATAAATGTTTCACAACAACATTTATAATATTGAAAATATTATGCATACATTTGCTTTAGTTCTTGGAAAACACCACAAATTGCCAAGTTTCAGGTTTAAACAAGTTCCTCGTTTGTCATTTGTTTTACCATCACTTCAATTCATCTGATAACGATTACGTTTAAACGCGTTGTAAACTTGTGTGACATCAGGCTTCAAATGGAAATGGAAAGAAATAGAAGTCCCAAAAACAAGCAAAATCAACAAGGCCAACAAGACGGAGTGCTCATTAGATGATGTATTCTCTATCAGGACATGAAACACTGGCAGTGTGTGTGTTCCTGCAGAGAGATAGAATGGCAGCGGGAAGATCTGAGGCCAGTAATGATCTCAGCTTCGTGAGTGCACACTCTATTTAACTAATTGACATCACTTGTGGAAGAGAAAATCTGGAGCTTTTTGTTCAAGCTGACTGGGAGGTCATTAGTTTTAATTATCATACCAGCTGATTGGATACACTGGGCAACAAGCTCAGAATGTTTTTTCTGTTGTAGCATCACAACTGTTCAAATTTGATAACTGTGTGGAGAGGTTCTGGCCCAGCATCTGTCTTTTACTTCTAGTACTTCTATTATTGTTATTTTTAAAAAGAGAGTGTTATATGCTCAGTATTGAAGTTTTTCCACTCTTACAATGTAAGTTGGTCTAAAGATATGAAAGATATGGGAAACTGTTTCCAAACTCAAAAGAAATGAAATGAAAACAATGAAGAATTGGCCCAAATATAACAAATAGCAAAACTGGAGTTTTTAAAAGTTTACTCAGTGATAATTACAGTATTTCATAATTGCCCTATAGTTACCTCCCACATCATTAAAAAAAAAAGAGCAGCTCAAAATAGTAATTTCCTGTGAAAATACAGTAGTAATTCACTCCTGTAGTACAACCAGTGACGTTCATCACTCACTGGAACTGAAAACTTTTGAAACATTGTGTTTACTCACTGCTGACCACTTCCTTTTGTGACTGCTCCCATGATGCATCATAATAATGTCATACTGATGACACGACTCTTATTACAGCATAATTCTGATGAGAAACCCCAACATTCAACCTGAAAGTGTGTTTTGTAACTTTAAACTTTAAACAAAATTTTGTTTCCAATCTTGACTCAGTCATTGTGTCTTCCATTTTTAAAAATAATTCTAAGTAATTTAATGTTTTACAGAGAACCAAGATGCCCCAACCAACATTCACTGGACTTTATTTGAATTTTAAACAAATGTTGATTTTTAATCATTAACTGCTGAATTAAAAAATTATTAAAAAACAAACTGTATGAGCCACGATGCCTGACTGACATGGTTTTGTAGCCATAGCAGAATTATTGCATACCGGTGTGTGTGCTTCCACGGAAAAATGAGGCTCACAAGACTTGGAACAAGGAAAAAAAAAATATAAATAGAAAACAACAAAACATTTTAAATACAAAACTGTATTTATCATTTATTTATAAAAAACAAAAACCTTTTTTATTGAAATCATGAGGAAAAACACGTGTGACCTGACTGGGGCATGGTTCATTATTTAATTTATTTTGTATTCTGTTTTTTTTATGAGAAGTTAAAGAAGAACAGACCAGGGAACAGGACAGTTAAGATCCTAGTTTTATATATAATAGAAACACAACAGCGTATATAGAATTTCAAACAAATATGGAAAATAAATAATTCACGAATTAGAACATCCTTTGGGAAGGACTTTGTACTGGTTCATTATTTAATCCAGAAAATGAATAAATTGTTTCCACGAGTGTGTTATTGAACTTGAGCTGGTAAAAAAAATGATAGCTTCAACCGCTGTATCGCAGTGAGCTGACATCAAATGAAAGGAATGAGAAAATAAAAAACTGGGTTTAATGATTGTATTTGGGTTAAGGATAGAAATGAGACGAAGGATTAAGACCATCTGTACATTCAGTGTTTACTGAATGTATATATATATATACATACACATATGTTTATATGTGTATGTATGTATATATATATATTTATTTATATGTATATATGTGTATATATATATATATATATATACATATATATACATATATATACACATATATACATATAAATAAATATATATATATACATACATACACATATAAACATATGTGTATGTATATATATATATTTATTTATATGTATATATGTGTATATATATATATATATATACATATATATACATATATATACATATATATACACATATATACATATAAATAAATATATATATATACATACATACACATATAAACATATGTGTATGTATATATATATATTTATTTATATGTATATATGTGTATATATATATATATATATATACATATATATACACATATATACATATAAATAAATATATATATATACATACATACACATATAAACATATGTGTATGTATATATATATATTTATTTATATGTATATATGTGTATATATATATATATATATATACACATATATACATATAAATAAATATATATATATACATACACATATGTTTATATGTGTATGTATGTATATATATATATACATACATACACATATAAACATATGTGTATGTATATATATATATACATACATACACATATAAACATATGTGTATGTATATATATATATTTATTTATATGTATATATGTGTATATATATGTATATATATGTATATATATATATATATATATATATATATACACATATATACATATAAATAAATATATATATATACATACATACACATATAAACATATGTGTATGTATATATATATATTTATTTATATGTATATATGTGTATATATATGTATATATATATGAAAAATGTGTTAGTGTGAAATGCCTTTATTTTTCTCTTTTGTTTTATTTAGTTCACAAAGCAAGAGCATTAACTGACATCATGGAGGAGGTGGGGTCGGGGGTAATAAGTTCCCTGAGAGACGAACTAAAATCCTAATCGTCTCACACACGTCTTTTCACCGACTGCTGTGAGCCTCTGTCTTGTGCTGCTGCTCTGTTAGAATCAGGTTGCAGCAGCGAAACCAACATCCACAGAGTTTATTATCAATGTCCAGCTTTGATCTGCATCTTGGGGCGTGGCAGCCCTCAGGGGGTCCGCACCCCACCTTGGGAACCAAGTAATAGAGTGCCTACATGCAAATAATACAACATGATGCTGAAGTGTGTTTGCCTTTGTTGTTTTCTTACATATTTTATCATCTGGCTTCCATCCTCGCAGCCGTTCCCTCTAGTCCAACGCTGCCCTCCTCTGTTTGTCTGAAGGAGTCAGGATGTGAGCAGAGGAAAGTAGGAAAAGAGAAGTGACGGCTGCAAAGATGAAACCTCGTTTGTCTCCCCCGTTTCCACTCTCAAACTGATTTTCTCTAGCGCACTGCACTGACTTGAGTGCCTACATTTGTGAGTGTGTGTTAACAGTGGCAATGATCTGGGATGTGTCTCTCCGCCTCTTTCCAATGAGAGAGAGAGAGAGAGAGAGAGAGAGAGAGAAACATGCAGCAGGAGCTGGGAGCAGACAGAGCAGCAGAGAGCTGTCAAGCTGTGAGGAAGCAGCAGAGAGAACCACTTAGTTTTTCTTTCTTTCTTGGAATATACTTCATTTGTATTTCAGACGCTCACAGAACCACACACTCCCAACTCTAAACTCACAGCCCTGTGTGTGTGTGTGTGTGTGTGTGTGTCAGTGTTGCTCTCCTCATTATATAAAGGACCAGGATTTACTCAAAGTGGACATTTGGACTTAGAGAAGGTTCAGATTCTGCACCAGTGTGACTTGGACTTTAGTTGTAGTTCGGTGTGTTGTTGTTGTTGTTGTTGTTGTTGTTGTTGTTCTGGTGTGATTCTGGACTTGTTTGGACCAGGTCTGCTTTTGCACTCCTTTCCTCTGCATTTCTTGGAGTCAGTGTTTGTGCGTGAGTAAGTGAGTGAGTCAGTGAGGAGAAGGATGTGTCAGCCACTGACCGTGGTGGTCCTGCTGGCCCACCTCGTGGCCAGTCTAACAGGAGCGTGGAGAGCATCTCAGCCCAGACTGCAGCTCACACACACAGGTAAATCCAGTTGATCTTTTATTCTCCTCTTCCCTTGTGTTCTCAGTCTCATTCATTCCAGCTTCTTTTCTCACACTTTACTTCTCTTCTTTCTCTGCTTTTTCTTCCCACACTATTATACGGTAATTGCAGCACAAATGATACCCTTGCTTCTTTGTTCCTCCACCTGTCTCCTTCTGAATTTGTCCTCCGTCCTGAGACAGCCTCACTTCCTTCACCCGTCATTTCACCTATTTAAAAAAAAAGCAGTGTACTTTTTACTAGTGATTTCTCACCATATTGTTGTATTGCTGACCATGTCCTCTTTTCAATGTGGCCTATTTTGTGAGTGTGTCTCATTTAGCAAATTGTTGCATCAGGCTGCTCCAAATATCAAGAACAAACCAAAAGTTCAGTCAGATTTGACAATTTTTCTGATGAATTTATCATAAATTAAATTTAAAGTTGTGTTGATAAAACTGAACTTGAGCTTTTTATATATATATATATATTATCAGCTGCTGGGTGATAATGTTAGCCCTGCCCTACATTTAAGTATCAGTCAAACACTATTCTGTGGCCAAAATGAAGGAACTGTTTGTCCAAATCTTCTAATTTCCAAACAAGCTTCTCATCACAGAGTAACCATCCTCTCATAATCTGACCTCATCCCAACAACAATACCCCATAGCATTTGAAATTAAATGTCTTTGTCCATTAGTTGAAGTTATGGACAAAAAAGCATTAATGATGTGATGGCAGAAATCCCAGATCCAGATCACCACCAACTTAATTATGCCTTGGCTCCGGGCTGATCTGTTCAAAAACAATGGAGTCCATGCAGAGTCTGGGGGAAAATCCTGCAGACAGACTCACTGAGACCTCCTTAGAAATGACAAAAGGAGAAGAAAAAGTCATTTAGACTGAGAGCCATAATTGAATTAACATTCATACTGGGTTTGAACACGCAGGCTCTGATGTGTGCACTGAGGGTTTGCTTCACCCACTGCTACTGTGCAGCAAGGCTGCATTAAATAACAGGCTTTTGAATCATCACGGGACTGTGTTAAGGGTGATTCATGGGTAAATTGGAGATGACAGGTCTTTGTAACGTGCACAGTTTCAGGCTGTCCTAGTTTAAAGATACCCATCACACAGCCCTGCTGGTAATTTATGTAGTCGTTGCCTCCCAGTAGGAAACCGATGTGACATCCTGAGAGATGTTCCCAAACGGCCACAGTCACGACTGGAGTCCGAGGATGACGTCCAAACAGTTTGTGTCAGTTCTAGGACTTTGGGATGACTGATTACATGTTCTTACATAAGCCCAAATACACAGTGGCTGAGGCTGAAGTCGACCAATTTTGACCTAGAATTTACAGAGAGAGGGAGAGGAGGAATCTTGTGGGGTGGTCCAGGTGGGAATTGACTTTAATGAAAACTGGATGTGATCGTGTGAGAAGATGCTAAAGTAGCTATTAGTGCCTGTGTGTCCTTGGCATGTGTCATATGCATGTGTGTGTGTGTGTTGGTGCAGGCCTGTTCCACCTCACCCGTCTACACTTCATGATCTTCAGTCAAAACTGAACAACAGACACGTGATGACTGTGGTTCTTAGGTGGCGCCGTGTCCTTCTCCATGTTTGTGTAGCTGTTTGTTTGCTTTCATACATACAGTAATGTGCTAATTCAGCTGTGGTTCCACCATGTGACTTTCAAGGTAGTACTGCAGTGCAGAGCAAAAAATGTTTTTCATTATCCTGCTTCTTTTGTTCCTGTAGAATTCTGCAGTTTGGAATGTTTTTGTGGTATTATGTGTTCAATTTCTCTTTTGTTCCTTCCACTGTGTAAGAACAGGTGTATTTAACAATTTACCTGTAAAAGTACACCTTAAGAGGCATATCACCCCAGATGGAAATCAAACCCACAATCCCTGGCTTAGGAGGCCAGTGCCTTATCCATTAGACCTCTGGGGCTTCTGGTCATAGTAGTCTTTTAGACTCAAACTTCAGTCCTGATTGGATACATACTACCAAAAGACTGCCATTGTTTTGTTCTGTTGTAGCACTAAAGTTTGTGATGTCACACCTTCTGACCTTCACACTAACATGACTAGATAACTTGCCCAGGTCAGTTCTGTGATCCCCTCCGTGAAACATCATCCCATCTAATGTATGTAATGAACTCGGATGTTGAACCACGTGGGGCATCGATGTTTCCTGTTGTGCTGATGAGGAAGTCACATGCTGTGCTACAGCTT